GAGCGTCCCCCACTTTGTGATATCAGTGGATTATGGACCAGGCAACAGACCTTCCTAGGGATGAACCCCATCTTATGGTCCTTTCCCCCAACCCTTTAGCTTTAGATGTCTTAGGACTATCAGTGACTGGTTAGTATGAACTATTTTCTTACAAGTCTCTGTAAAAATATTCTTAAACATTTCTGATTTCTTAATATCTTTGCATCTGGCTTTCAATTTCTATAATCCATATGATCACCGATACTTTGGGACCATTTTCAAGAATAACAATATAAGTATGATATAGAAAGCATCTATAACAGAATCTACTGCTGCTGATTAATTTCAACTTAATGCATAATTTTGCTGATTTCCAATTAATACCGAAAATTTCAACTTAACAATAGTACTGTCAGATTTTGCTACCAGAAAAATCTTAATAATACTGTCACATTTTTGTATATACTTAATGCAAGATACTTAATTAAATGGGAGAATGTCATCATGTGAACATTATTGATGTTGTCAAAGTGAAGTTGCTTCGCAAAAACTTTATAAAAAGTCTGCCAGACTGGAGGTGATCTGTTCTCATGTGAGAAAAATATATTGTTTTGACATTTAAAAATGTATGTTTAAATCCCATTCAACAACTCATTCCATTCCAGTGTACTATAGTCCAAAATTAAGTTTATTGTTTCATAAGAACAACAAGTAAATAGATTGATACACAGTACAGCAGAAATGCAAATGAAGATATTTTCAATTCAAAACATATGTTGGTTTCACAGAAAGATGGGATGATGAAATAGTAGGTAGAACATCAAGAATGTATGGAATGGTAAGGTTAAAAGGGTTGTGATTTCAGCTGCTCTAAGAGTCCTGGTGCCTGATGATCACATCTTCTAATTCCCTTGAGGGAATTCTGGGATCTCTCTGAACGGGTTGCACCTATGCTTGATTAAGCATCAGAGGAATTTAGGATTTAAGAGGTTATGAAGTAAGTAGCTACTGCCATTAACATGAACAGAGCAATTGATAGAAGACAGATTAAAGGGCTAGAGGGGTATCCAGAAGGCACTGGAGGTAAAATAGAGGGTTTGAACTGCTTCTAGTTTTACTGAACTGGCAAACAGTTGTGTAACTAGAAACAGAACAACATGAATCATTTAGGGTATCGAGTCCAATCCAGTGCTAAGTGCAGGAATCCAAATTCAAACTTCCCAGAGAGATTGTTGTCTTCATCCACTTGAATACAATCAGTAAAGAAGAACCTGCCAACTCTCCTGGTAAATGGTTCCATTTGTGAACTGCTTTTAATATTAACAAGTAGGCAACTGCTTCATCAAAGTAAACATTAATATCTCTTTGGTCACATACATGTGGATAATGCTCCTGTATTGCCAAGTACATTTTTTTCTGAGATGAATTCCTTTTAACATCATTGTTGTATCGCAGAAATACTGGCTTCTCTATACTGTAGCTTTATTATGTATGTGTAATCAGCTTCTCTATGTCAGCAATAGTAATGCCATGTCTTAAAGCTATTTTAGTGCTTTATTTGCCAGTTTAGACCATTAATACAGCAGCTTCAAAGGGCACAAATAAGGATAAGGAAAAGGAAAAAGAAAAATAATAAAAATTCCTTGTTGGAAAAAAGAATTCACTTTGTTAATTGCGAAGACGTGTCCCCATGGACAATGTTCCTCCAGGTCTTCCTGTCCTCTACCATCTTCTGGAGTCCATTTAAGTCCACACCTACTGCTTCAGTGACTCCATCCAGCCATCTCATTCTCTGTTGTCCCCTTCTAAGAATTCACTAGTGAGAAGGAAATCTTCTGATTTCAAAAATGCATGAATTGTGAAGAGACAGACGTTATTGGTTTCTATAATATCTCAAAGTCCTCTGAGTCTGAAGTCTGATTTGTGGAAATGTGCTAAGCCCTACAAATGGGACATTGTGATTCAAATTCATTCATCACATTATTTGTCAGCTCCCATACACTGACCACATTATTTGTTAACAAGTTGATTCCATATCAGCTCTTCAGTTGATGGATAGAATGTTCATAGCCATATTCTTTTTTTCCTCTCTCTCTTCCTCTCTCTTGCTTGAAGAATGTGGGACCAGAAAGTACCCAAATCAAATATTTCACTTATGTTGATGACTATCCAATTTGTAATCAGGGAAGAGGCATTCAGGAAGATAACTGATTTTCTTGGAGCCAACTTGTCTAATATCCCTTTTGCTCTGTAGCCATAAAATTCCCTGCCAAGACAGTTATTATCATGTTTTGTGGTAACTTTTGCCATTATATAAATGTATCAATTTTTGTCCAGACTTCAGTGTTGTCATATCTCAAGGATATTGTATTTCAAGTCTTCAGTAAGACCCTCTCTATAATTTGACTTCATAAACATATCGTGAGCATATAGATTCAAACATCTGTGTTTAATATTAGAATAGAACAGGACAGAACAGAACAGAATAGAGCTGGAAGGGACTGTGGAGATCTTCTAGTCCAGCCACCTGCTCAAGCAGAAGAACCTATACCATTTCAGACAAGTGACTATCTAGCCTCTTATTAAAAATTTCCAGTGATGGAGCGCCCACAATTTCTGGAGGCAAGCTGTTCTACTGGTTAATTGTCCTCACTGTTAGGAAGTTTCTCCTTAATTCCAGGTTGCTTCTCTTTGATCAGTTTCCAACCATTGTTTCTTGTCTTGCCCTCTGGTGCTTTGGAGAATAGTTTGACATCCTTTTCTTTGTGGCAGCCCCTCAAATACTGGAATACTATTATCATGTCACCCCTATTTCTTATTTTCTTTAGACTAGCCAAACTCAAGTCCTGTAGCCGTTCTTCATATGTTTTAGTCTCCAGGCCTTTGATCATTTTAGTTGCTCTTTTCTGAACTTTTTCCAAGGTCTCAACATCTTTTTTGTAGTATGGTGACCAAAATTGGCTGCAGTATTCCAGGTGTGGTCTTACTAGGGTTTTATAAAGCAGTACTAATACTTTGTGTGATCTTGATTCTATGCCTCTGTTTATACAACCCAGGATTGTATTAGCTTTTTGGGCTGCTGCTGCACACTGCTGGCTCATAGTCAAGTGATCGTTCACTAAGACTCCAAGATTCCTAAAGAACAAATATCCTACACAGTTAGAATCAGCTTCTATAGGTTTGCATCTTCATGCAGAAAAGCCTCATTTTAGTCTTTTTTTTTTCCCCTCTGGCTTTAGGTACTGCTTTTCACATCTAAGAAGTCTGAATATAGTAGTTTCCACAGGTGTCAAGACTAATAGTAACAATTCTTGAACACTTCTACTGCACTTTATGGTTCCCACACCTGGAAATAGTGCCACATTCTGTTGCGATTACCAACTTATTAGTAACTGTTGAAAATTACTCTAACCATTAGTTGTGCAGCTAACATAATCTTGATCATTTAATAAAAATACCCATGCATTTTAGGATCCTGTTCAAAGAAATTAGAACTGGTCTTTCAGACTTGTATATTTGGAAACTTCCCATTTGACTGACTTACAAGCAATATTCTCAGCAAAGATCCTCCAGCTTCTTTTTGATAATGGTGGGAGGAATCATAGATTATTTGACTATCATCTGTGGATTTCTAACATTTATAAGCAAGTAGATAGCTGCAAAAGCTCAGTTAGCAGGTAAGGCTTATTGGCTAGCATAACTGCTGTAGATAGTGTTATATTATTAAATATAAATTAGAAGCATAGGACATTTGTTTCTGTACATAATTTTTGTTATTAGTGGCTTGGGTTTTTATTTTTAAGAGTGGATTAAAGTGGCACACACAGATTAGTGAAAGGAATTTTCCCCTCTCACGTAAGAAGAATATATAAACGGTGAGCATTAAAAGGACAATTTAAAACAACTTTCATGAAAACAGAACAACCACTTTGTTTCTTTATTCATTTCTTATTTTTTATTCTTTGTCTGACTAAAAAATAGTGTGCAAAGTTTAGTTTTGGCAGCATTTCAACAGCCACAGTGTTTCTCAGCCCTTGAACTGAAGGCTTCATGCTCATTTATTCAGTAGTATTTAGCATTTTATTTCATTTCAGCTTGCAGCCTGTCACAGGACAGAAGCCCCATCTCCCTTTACTAGAGCTTTTCATAAATACTCTAGAACTCCTTTCTTTTCTGTAGAGCAGTTATGGCGTGCTATAGACTCCAGGCTGAATCCTATCATAATTCTCAGGATTGTTGGATAATTATTTCCTATCATTATCAAATTTGTCCTAGAATATTTTATCTTTTAATATGTTTATTACATTGCTACAACTCTGGAGAGTTTCAAGATGGGGAAGCAACATCTCAAAGACATTCCAAAAACTAAAACAGGTCCTCACCCAGATCCAGTGGGCTGAGGTTTTACACATTTATTTTGGTAGGCACTAGATTCACCAAACCAAATGAAGGGCAATCAGATACAATAATAAATGAATCCCTGGGATGCAGGAAATTGCTAATATCAGGCAATCACAATGTACTTTTGACCAGTCTTTTTATGCTAAATCTCCATTTATCTCCCTAATATGTTGTAATGAAAACTAGAACTATTAACACATTTTTTTCTTTAAAAATCAGTTTACCAGACTGTAAACCCATTGACTGTGTTTATTCAGTTTTATTCTTTGAGGAGGGATTTTCAGTACCTAGCCACAGAATAGAATTGGAAAAGTAATTGGGGGAAACATATTTTCTTATACTTCTCTTCATTCCTTTTACCTCTGACTTTCTCTTTGACAGAACTTTCTATCTTTTCTCTCTTTGTTCACATTTATTCTTCTTTTTCCTGTTCTCCTTTTTTCAGTTTGAAACAGATTTGGGGCCAATGACTGACTAGTTATTTGTGATATATGAAAAAGAAAACGTTTAGACTGAACCTTGAAATGAAACCAGCTAAATTGCTAATGCAAGAGACAGAGAAAAAGTAGGCCCAGGACCTTCAAAGCAAAGCATGTTCAAGGACTGTATTTCTTACTCACTTAGTGGCAAGCAGCATATTCTTTCGGGAGTGGAGATCAGTAGGGTCTGTGTGCTGTCTGTTCAGGTATTCAGAAACTGCTTTGGCCGGGAATTCAGTTTCACAGATGTATCCAAAATCCCGAGCTAAATGTACAGCTTCTCCTAGGAAAAAACAAGCAGCTTTGGTCACCATAACCAGGTCAGTGCGATTTGTAATCCACCTGAAAGCCAACAGTAGTGTTTACTATCTCAATTAAACTTTACCTTGAAAAAAATATCTCACAACTTTATTTTGTCCTAATCCAGATTTGGAAATGTGGGCCTCTTCCAAAGTCTAGTACACTCCTCAGCTTAAAAAAAGCTATGAAGGAGGCCCAGTTAATGTGAAAGTTCTGGAGATGTTCAAGGCATATTGACATTAGAAAATAGTTTTATATGAAAGAGACATAATAAATAAACATAAAGAACTGGGTAAACATCAGTACATAAAATTCTTATTCATACAGCAACAATTCCAGTTAGGATGTGGCCTCAAAATACAAAGTTTGTGAAAAACAAATGAACAGTGCCTTTGAACACATATTGTACGTATTTGTACATTTGTCTTTTTTGGCACAGTTCAAGTAATTCATATTCTGAATTATTCAAGTCAGGCCACACAATATATAACAAATCAAAGGACATATTCTAAGCACTGCTCCCGATCAGTTCCCAGCAGCTCAATGATTAGAAACAGGGTGCCGTGAAATGCAATGATACAACAGCATAAATGCACACAACAAAATATTCATGAATGTTATTCATCCATTAGAAATAAAGTTGGTGATACATTAATCCATCTTATCTATCTCAGTGATTTACACAGACCTGGGTCACATGAATTAGTAAGTAATACAGAACTGTGGCCAAATTATGGCTAATTAGAGCACCTTTACCATAATGTATAATCATGGCCTGTTTCTGGTTAACAAATACTGTAGTCCTCCAAGAGAACAATGTCTGACATGTGAGAAGCTACAAAGCAGAACCTCTACTGATCCTCCTTTATTAATCTCCCATAGGTTAATTGGAAGTGGGGGAAGTAGAAAGAGAACAGAAGCAGAATGGGAGAAAACACATGGTGCCTCTCACTTATGCCAGCACAGGCTTACTGCTGTTGTGTACGCAAACAAACACACACACAGATACACACACATGTCTGGAATAGAAGCTTTCCTGTGTAGTATATGTTCACTGGATAATCATCTTGTCCATGATTAATTCCAAAGCAAATAGAGATCAATGTAGTCTCACAGCCAAGTTACTCATGTGAAGTCTAAATATACAATACATGTCTGAATTTGCTGACATTGGCCTCTTGTTATTTTTGTCTCTTGTCTGTTTCCTCCTTCTCTTGACATCTTCTTCTCACAAATATTTAGGGTATAATCTGAAGCATACTTGGTATCTTTTTAGAAAAATGATTATATTTCAATGGACTGGATAAATTATAAACAAATACAACAGAAATTATTTCTATTCCATTGTCTTTGCCTCTGAAGATTGCAAATAGGCAGCTTATGCCAATTCTTCAATAATTTAAAAGCCATGATCCTAGACATACTTATTCCAAAGTCCCGCTCTTGTTGGTAGAAATTACTTTGACATACAAAATATGAGTTAAGTATAAAATTTAAAAACTTACAGTACTGCTTAGTTTCATATTTCTTTGCTCTGATGTCAAGCTATGACAGTATATTGCAATTTAAACTCAAAGGAGGAAGATAAGCAGAATATACTCCTCTGAATTTTAATCTATAAAAGCAAATATATTTTAGTAACTGTTCAGTTGATTGATTGATTGATAGATAAATGAATAACACTCAATTCTGAATAAATAAGGAAATTGGAGAGAAACAAATTTCTCATGAATATTTAATTGTTGTAGTAAAATTTACAAAAGAGATATGAATTCCACTACTTCTGACGAATCCTTGACATAGAGAAAGAAAAAGATAAAGATCTGTATCATCTTTCATATTCTATCACTTGGCTAAATTTCTCTCTTTCTGTAACTCATGTATAGGTTGTAAATATTCGGGGACTATTAGAAACAGGTACAATAATACTGATGCAAAGTGCTAATTTCTGCACAGATGGACTGACATTTAGTTTTTTAGTGAAAAAACTGGTTGGCCCAGATGAGAAATTACACTGTTATAAAGTATATATTAGCAATCATAATAGAGCTACTTTGGTCTAGTGATTAAGACATCAAGCCACAAGCCAGGAGAATGTGAGTTCTTGTCCTGCCTTAGACATGAAACCCAGCTTGCTGACTTTGGGCCAGTCATCCTAGTCTCTTTCTAGAGTTGAGACTCTAGAAAGAGTGCAGAGAAGAGCAACAAAAATGATCAGAGGACTGGAGGCTAAAATATATAAAGAACGGTTGCTGGAATTGGATATGTCTAGTTTAATGAAGAGAAGGACGAAGGGGGACATGATAGCAATGTTCCAATATCTCTGGGGCTGCCACAAAGAAGAGGGAGTGAAGCTATTCTCCAAAGCGCCTGAAGGCAGGACAAGAAGCAATGGATGGAAACTAATCAAGGAGAGAAGCAACCTAGAACTAAGGAGAAATTTCCTGACAGTTAGAACAATTAATCAGTGGAACGACTTGCTTCCACAAGTTGTGAATGCTCCAACACTGGAAGTGTTTAAAAAGAGATTGGAGAACCATTTGTCTGAAATGGTATAGGGTTTCCTGCCTGAGCAGGGAGTTGGACTAGAAGACCCCCAAGGTCCCTTCCAACTCTGTTATTCTGTTATTGTCTCCTTCAGACCAACTCACCTTCACAGGGTTGTTGTGGTGAGAAAAATAGGAGGAGGACGGAGTGTGGTATGTTTGCCACCTTGAGTTATTTATAAAAATAATAAAGGTAATATATAAAAAAATAAAATAAAAATAAATCATCACAGTATTTACTAGCATTTATCGTTTCCCATTAACTTTAAAGAGACTACACTGCAGATTACACTCCATAAAATCAGTGCCTGCTTTTTAGAAATTTGTTTGACTTGAATGACAAAGATTTGTAGGCCCTCAGTACAGCACCAACAGCTCAAAGTATCTGCTATTCAATGATGAGGATGATGGTGATGATGATGACCACGACGTTATCCATTCAGTTGTGTCCGACTCTTGGTGATTCTATGGGCCAGGTCTCTCCACATCTTCTTATCTTGCGCTGCTTCTTGAGTTTTTCTATTCTCTGGCTGATGTCAACTTTGATAGTGTCCAGCCATCATGCTCTTTGGCAGCCTGGTTTCTTTTAACCTTTAACTCTTCCCAACATAATTGCTATTTATTTCTATCAAAAAGGGCTTGTTTTTTTTCTTCTTTTACTTTTATCTTCTTTTTTTTTAACAGGCTTTTTTATTTGCTCCAAAATAGCACAATTGCTCATTAAATGGAAATCACAACTGAAATTGTGAAATTATATGAAATTATTATGCAATGGTCAGATCCTATGATCCAAACAGATTACTAAAAGTGGTCTTGTCTCTATGGTAGTGCTAAGACATTTATTTATTACTGGAGTAACCATGCTATCTATGCTTTGGATATGTACAAGTTCTCAGTTTCTGCTGGTTCAGTTCAATTCCTCCTCGTCCTCCTCTTCCCCCTCCCCCATCTGAATCTGTGTTAAGTGACAAATGTAGTTCCCTAGTGATATACATACAATATTCATATGCCCATGTCTTTGCAGGAGATGACCAGGCTGAGTCTGAGGAAGGGGTCAAACACATCATCAGTCTCAAGTCCCTTCGTGCCCACAAGTGATCTAAGTCCAGCCCAGCTTGAATTCCATTGACTCTTATCTAATGCCTATGTGCTTTGGCCATTAGTAGTTCAGATTCTTGTAGAGATGCTTTAGCTTACAATAAACCTATACATTCATTTGAACTGATGGACTCCTGATTTTCTGTGCTTGACAATCTGCCTCTGTATACAACCTGATTTTTTTTTTACAATTTCCAGGAAGGTGTCTATGTTGGTCTACTGCAGCAAAAACACTACAAAATGTTGTTGCCTTTAATGATTACCGAATTAATTATGCATAGGTTTTTGTAAACTAAGTCCTCATCCTCAAATGAAGTAATAAACTCTCTATATGTATATGTATATATAAGCTCTTCAGTTGTTTTGCAAACAGTTGCTATTGATAAATAATAATTCTTGTCTCCCCTCTATTTTATTGCCCTACATCTCCTGTTATTATTCCTCTTTAATTATGTTCATATAACTGTTAGTCTGATTAAATGTTATGCAACATACGGCATATACATGTATTTCTTTTCTAAGTATTATATGACAGTTTCCTTTATTGGGGACCCAATGGGGGAGTATCACACTGGAGGTGGCTACTAGATTGATAGCATATCCCACCTTCCCCCCAATTCCTTGCTTCCCCCAGCCCATCTTTTAATCTCATGTTACTGTATTTTCAAATAAATACAGTATTTTATTTATTTTGTAGTTTCATTATCTTGCTACTGTTATGTTTACCCTTCTCTTTTTCATTTCTGGTTTTACTGTTGTAAGCTGCCTAAAATAGCCCCACTGGTGAGATAAACAGCAAATACATTTAAAAATAAATAAATAAATATTTTCCAGAACTCTTTAGTTCTATGTATATATATTTGAGAACAAGGTCCACCACATCTATGAATATTGTGGCACTTTCCTTTCTATGATGTATATACATTTGAGTATGGTGGAGAAGTTAGTTTGGAGGGATTGTTTTAATTAAAGTATCTTCCTCTTCCATGAGGCCAGATATCATAACCACTCCTTAGTATGTCCTAACAAGTATATTGGACAACGGTGGTTAATTTTAGAAGTACCATTTAAACATAAATAAAATTTAGCTGGCAACTGCAGAATTCATTTAACACTGTTACTTAAAAGGAAACGCCAATCTTGCTGAATCTTAAACACAGCCCCAGTTGGGATATGTAATGAGCCTTGATTTTCTGCATGGCAGATTTTTCATGTCACAGCAACAGCGATTCGATGCAACTTTACAAAATGTCAAACCTTTCCTCGCCCAGAAGTGTCGCCAGAGGAGGTTGGGGTGGGGGTGGGGAGTCGGCGTGTGTGTGTGAGAAGAAATCGAAATGGACAGAAAGTCTGCTTACCTTCCACCAGGGAGGTGAGTAAAGTGACATTTGCCGCTTTGCGCCTGCCGGCTGGTAAATTCAAACCGATTTTTTCTAGCCGCTCTCGCAACGATCGGCCCCCATTTTTCGATTTGGCTCTGCAGTGACGAAAAAAGGAAAACGCGGGGCTTAAAAACTCGACGAAGGTCCCCGGGAGAGAGAAGAAGGGGGGGCTGAGGGATGGGACGCCCCAGAGTCCTGGCTTCGGGCACAAGCAACTAGCACAGAGGAGGTTTCACGGTGCTAAAGAGCGGGAAGGAAAGAAGCTACGCCCTTAAAAAGAGAGGCTCGCCCTGCCCGTGGCAACCTTGTTGTTCCTTGGGCCGCCAACGACGTTTGGGTTTGCAGGCTGCAAGTGAACGAGGAGGAGGAGGAGGGTTATATCATTTTTAGTTCTGCTACTACCAGGAATAAACTGGCTGTTCTTGGAAAGCTGCGTCACCAGCAGCATTTAGCCTTCCAAATAAAGGCGGTGATTTGTGAGGTTTCTGTTGTAATTCTGCTTATTCAAAGCACTTAGCACTCAAAGAGACTCAGAAGTAAAAAGACTGGATTGGAGCCGAAGAATGGCCTGGGGTGTGGAATGTGAGTTATGCCATCACCCCCAGCAATGTTGGGCACATTTGTGAAAGTATGTATTAATAGTGTGCAATAACAAAATTCAGTAAGTTTGAATTACTCTTGTGTAAGAAGTGTTTTGTATAATAATAATTTCAAGACAGCAACAATAATAATGCTGCTTCAAGGCAACAAAGGCTACTTGAAAAATGAGGTTTTTGCACTGACTTAGGCTTGAAAAGATACAATCCTACTGTAGCAGCTGCCTGGCACAGTCAGAGGAAGGAATTCAAAAGCAACATGGCTGCTAGGCCTCCATCAGGAGAGAGGTTTGGGCAGCAGGAAGTGCCTTTCAAGGGATTTAGGGTACCATATGTGTATTGTTTTTCAAATAAGCATCACCCCCTTCCCCTTTGTTTACCTGTATTTTATGGCAAATGAATGAAATAGTCCAAATATATGTAAGGGACCACTGGAGAAAGGGGGAGATGAATCAGCAATGTATTTTGTTTTTGTGAAGAGGGAAGGCAGGGATCCAGTGAAATCTAGTGAGGTGGTCAGTGGTTGATCAATTTGGAAGGATAAAAGTGAGTACTGACTTGGCTGACCATTGCCTGTGAACTACAAAGAGGATCTCCACCAGCATCTTCTAGAGCATTGGTTCTCAAAGTGTGGTCTGAGGCCCCTTCAGGGGTCTTCAAAGTTAAATATTTTAACATTTCTCATTTTTAATTTCTAATACAGTCAATATCAATAAATATAACCCACATAAACCAAAGCTCTTTGGGATCCTCAATCATTTTTAAGAATGTAAAGGGGTCTTAAGAATGTTTGTGAACCACAGATGAACCCCTGTTCCAACCATCATTGGCCCAATGTAGCAGTTATGACAGACTTTATATTGCCCGAATGATGCCAGAAAAATACTAGAAGTCACTAGTGGGGAAATGACCGTAGCCTTGCAAAATTAGGGAGATACACTCTTGCTCACAGCATGTAGATTTGCAAATGGTCAAAATAGTTGATGACATAATAGCATAGTCCCAAATCAGGGTTGTCAAACTCACAATATCATGTGACGTGTCACAATGTATCTTGACTTTTTTGCCATTGCCGGCAGTGGGGTGGGCACGATTTCACTATGATACACCCGGCCCGGGGGCCAGCAGTTTGACACCCCTGCCCTAGATGACATAGATTTGGAATTTGTGATTTGAGTCTAGTTGCTTCTGGAAGACTTTACTTTTTTTCCTAAAATTGGATATGTTTATTTTACAACCTTCTTCTCACCTCGTGCCTTCAAATGCCACACTGAGAATTCCCAGCCAGTATACAAGAGCAAAGGCTTTTCTTATTATTGGTCTCAATGCTGCTGATCCTGGAGATAGCTACTATTATGACTAGTAGCCACAGTGTTGTGGTTGACGTGCTAGATTAAGACCAGGAAGATCCAGTTTCAAGTTCACTCTCAGCCACAGAAATTCACTAAGTGATGTGGAGCCAATCAGTTTCTTAGCCCAACCTACTTAGCAGGGTTGTTGTTGTGGAGAAAATGGAGGAAAGAGAGTTGTATTTATTACCTGAAGGAAATCCAATTGGCTAATCTAATTGTATTGTTGCTGCCATAGGAGATAGGGTAGGGGGTCTTTTTTTTAGCAGTTTTATTATATGATCAATTTTTTTTTAGATTTTTTTAAATATTGTAAGCTGCCCATGGACACATATGTTTTAGTTAGGAAGCAATATTTGTTTAATAAAAAAATAAAATAATCTGGAATAAAAAATTAAGAAATAAACCTTTTTCTAATCTTTTCAAGCCACCTGTGCTAGTTACCCTATGATAGAGAATCCCATACTTCAACTAGGCATTGTGAAAAACGACTCCATTTTATTTCATTCCATTGTATTGATGATCCCAAGTTCTGGCATTCTGAGAAAATAAAGAATTTGTATCTATCAACTTCTTTCCTGTCTTGTGTAATTTTATACTTCTGTTATATCTGCTTTAGTCAACTTTGACCTAAGTGGATATTTCACAATAATGTTATTAATAATACTATTAGGTATTTCATTTATTCCAGTTGCTATTTTTGTATTTTCTTCAACTCTATAATAGCGTTTTTTCAGACTGAATGATAAGAACTATGCAGTTTTCTAAATGTAGTTGTATTATAGATTGTCAATGAACTGATACTGGAAATTTTATTTTCAGAACCCTTCTCAATGAATACCTAGCACTGAAATTCAGCTTCTTCACATTAAATTGATCTTTTCTTTAAATTGTTCACCACAGAATCAAGATTGTATTCTTATTCTGATCTTCTATACAATAATAGTTTTCCTCTCTCTTCATGTACATCACTTTACCATTACTTAAAAATGAATAACATTCTATAGCCACTTTTCCAGTTTAAAAATACCCATTCAGAGTTTTTATTAATCCTTTTTGTTTTAATACCTTTTTGGGTCTTCTGGTTTGGTCACATATCTATACATTGTTTTTGAACTAACTGGAAAGTACTAGTCCTAATTCATTGTTTACTCTTTTCCATTGTGGAACGGTTCGTCCCTATTTTATCCATTTTTTTTTTATTTTTAAGACAAATACTCTTACCCTAAGTCTATGTTTACTCAAGAGCCTTTCATAAAAGACTTGCATTCTATAAGTCCCAATAATAATATTTGCCCAATAATGCTATCATTAAAATTAAGGGAGTGCAAAAAAATCAGGAACTTTTTCCTTCTTCATAGTTTACAATCATATCTTATAAATCCTCAGAGCAGCTATGTAAAATAAATGAATATTATAAATTCATACTGGGAAGAGGAACAGAATTTTAAATGATTGCTTAAGACAACCTAATGCATTTGAAACCTCATCTGCTCCTTCATTCTCCACTAGTGCAATATACCAAACTGAATGGTAAATGATAAAATTCATAATCATTAAATATTTAAAACTTGTTCAATTAAGTTAAAAGTTCCAGACAGTTTGCAGTATAACGTATAACTACATTTAGAAATGCAAACAGGAACACCCCTAAAGTGAGGAACAATGTAATGAAGCACATCTATCTCTTTCTAAGGCAGATGATAGCACAACTCTAGATAAATGGGCCTTCATCCAACATGCAGTTGACCTAAGAGACTCCATTCCCACGTACTCAGCCACCCTGGGTGAGCAGTAAAGGTTGGACATTAGTGAAAAAGCTTTTTTGTCATTTGTTATCTATATCTGCTTAACATCTAGGCAGCTTCATGTCGGAAGATACTTTAAAAGATAAACTCCAGGATATTAATCTGAACTCTAACTAACAGTTTGACTATTTAAAGAAAGTGGCCAGTCTTACAGAATTAATAAACCATATAACATGATTGGCATAATATCGTGAGCGTCAGTGGCAATGACATCCACACTGTTAACGTATATCTCATATGCATTCACTTACATCTCTTAACTTCAACGACTACTTATAGTAATCTTAATGCAATTTTAATCCCTGCAGAAAGTACAGATTGGCCTGCCCCATAACTTACCTTCTAAGGACTCCTCCAAGGAGGGAAGCGTTTAAGCACTCAGGAGGTGAAAGGCGCCGTTGAACTTCTCCAACAGTGACTTTGTACTTGGACGTGGAACTGAGCAAGGAGAGCCTCCCAGGTACCGAACAAAACACTTCACCTGTGTTTACAGACACACCACCAAGGAAGCCATCTTTGTTCATCATCAGAGAAGTAACAGATTTTGGAGGAACTGGAACTAGGAAGAGAGGAAAGCAGTATGGGCAAGATCAGCTTGTCAAGGCAGCCCACATAGCTCATAATTGCATCCATTTATTAATCCTCCTGACTAATAAAAAGGAATTCAAATTCTTTTTAAAGGAGTGGCTCTTATTCATTTCAGGTTTCATTTATTTATAAGACCCTTCTGTGCCACCTCTCATGAAAACATCTTCAGGTGGCATACAACATCAAAATGAATTCAGTACATCATTTAAGGAAATAGTTACAATTACAAATACATTAAAATGCAATTACTGGTTTAGAATTGTAGAACAAAATCATGAGCAATCAAATGCATAGTGAGTGTAAGCATTTTCCTCATGTGTTTAAAGTACACAGGTAGTTCTTGACTTATCACAATTGGGACTAGAACTTCCCTCACTAAGCAAGTCACACCCTATTTTAGGACCTTTTTGCTGTAGTCATTGAGCAACTCACTCAGTCTTTAAGAGTTAACTTTGCTTGTTGGAAGCTACTCTGGAAAGGTGACAAATGGTGGTCAAGTGACTATTGTAAATAAATGCTGGTTGCCAAATGCCAAAATTTTACAATGAAGACATTGTAATGATCATAAGTGCAAGGACTGGTTGTAAGTCATTTTTTCAGTGCTTTCATAACTTTGAACAGTTGTTAAGCAAGTAGTCGTAAGTCAAGGACTACCTGATTTTTTAAAAAAACTGATTCTGAATGAAATGCAGATTCAGCTTTTCAACTCTCCTAACAGACTAGATAACCTCAGAAAACAGGCATTTGAAAAAGTAAGCCACCTCAGAGTAAGTTTCTCTTTATGTGGGAGGGAGCAAAGCTCTTATTGAAGACTTTGCCCTCTTTATGGCTGGCTCAGGAAGAACAGTATGTAGGTAAAGTAAATGTGATCGTGTTCTGCTAATGTAATTGTATTGGGAATGACCTTGGGAGACCAATAAAGAGAGAAGATAGCCTGCATGGTGGATTGAGCAAAAGTCTCAGGAGGGGCCATCCCTAAATTATCAGGCTATAAAAGTGATGGGGGAGAGTTTTACTTTCAGACTTACAAGATTCTGTTAATGTAAAGGAGAATTAGCTTATCTGGTGATGTTTCCTGTCTGGTCTATCTGATAAAATTAAGTCAGTAGCACTTGACAAGAAAAAAAAGAAAACTCTTTATGATTTTGCCATGGAGAACATAAGGGAAATCACAGCTCTGATGGGCCCCAGATTAACAGATTTAGAGATTTCTTTTTGCATTTTGAATTCCTTGCTTGCATATGTAAAAGTAGCAGACATGCACATACAGCCCCATGCCCCAAAGACTAAGTTACATATCATAACATTAAGAAGATATTCTTATAGCAACCTTTTTAGTTTAACAGTGAAAATAATGTATATGGGTAGCCCTAATATTCCCTTCTTTTTTCTTTTTTTGCTTTAACAGTTTATATTATGTGCAGCATATGAAGGTAGAACTCATCCCATTTTTAAAAAAGTGTACATCAGTATATCTTCCCCTTCTGCCACTGCATATTTGTAGTTGAATAAGAAAGGATTGTTATCTGTACTGATGACAGTGGAAAGTGGAAGTAGAAGCAAAGACAGAATGAATGCCTTTCTTATTCAGAGAAATTAACTCCTGTGAAAGATGTGCAAGACTCGCACTTAAAACATTTAATTTGGATATGTAATAAAAGTGTTCAGCATTTTAAAGAATGGAATGTAGAAAGACAGTAATAACAGCAAATGCATGTTATACTGTCTCATAGATTATCTTCAAACCATTGTTAGTTAGTGCTGGAAAAGTGCCATATTCAGTCGTGACACTAAACTAATGCCAATTCTTTTAGTTCAACTGATTTTTATTTTAAAATCCCGTATGTATGTCAAAGTCTTATAATAAATCTGAAACAATAGAAATAAAAATTTAAGACATGACCAGGCATCTGAACCAGCATTGCAAGAATCCTTTCAATCTGACACTTGAAACCCAGGTAAATAAATTACAAAAAACAGATTTCCGGGGAATAAAAAGTTTAACATAGCTTATGTATCTTGCTAATTGATAGAAGTCACTATGGTAGTCAGAGTTCTGTCCGTGAACTGGCTGCTTTTGGTACATATTTAGGCATCAGTTCATTGATTTTACGAATGAAATCTGATTTTTCTGCACAGCCCTTGCATGTGTCACCCCAGTCATCTAGAATTTTTTTTTTCAGTTCTTTGACTCTCAGTTTCTTCAGGTCCACAGTACTCAGGTCAATCTGTTTTATCATATTTCAGTTCACAGATCTGACTATCTTTCTTTTTCAGTTTCTCACAAATCTTCTCAACAGATATATGATGAGTTAGAGTTTTTGATACCTCATTAGTTATTTTGGTGGCTGCATCACTGGTTGCTCCAAAGTAATAAGAAAAACGGTTTTCTTTGCCTTTTGCCTCTTTGCAGAATTTCAAAAGTTCTTTTTCAAGACTGTTTGATGTGAACTCAACATTCTTCTCTTGTAGAGCCTAATAGAAAGTTCCCAGAAATGACACACAAACAATTCTGAAGCTGCTCTCCTTCCCTCCGGTCCTCGAGCCCAGAAAGTTTGGAGACTTCTGGACTAGATAGGAAGACACCATATCAGAATTGCTTCAGTTTTTATGAGTTCTCACACAGGTGTCTCCCATCATCAAGGCCATACCAGGAATAATGAAGAAGCTGCCTTCACAATCTCCCTCTTGCAAAGCGTGGCTGTCTCCGGGGAGCAGGATCAAGGCCAGCGCCACCCAGAGCCCGTTAGCCGCCCACATCCTTCTTCACCGAGCCCGCCTCGACCACTCGCTCACCTCACACCGCCCTAACATTCCCTTCTGTTAATCATATTAGAATATGTTCTATATATTAGAATATTGCAGAGAAAAGGTAATTCTGATAAAAATGTTTGCACTTTTTCAGTATCATGAATGGTACTGTAGGCCAAACTCATTGCTCCTTTCCTCAGCAAATGGTTAGAACAAAACATCTTTCAACTCATAACATAACTGCTAGCTTTCAGGTCAGGAATGATTTTTTGTGTGTGCCAGAACTAACCTTGGTTATACTGTATTTTTAATTATACATTTAAATATATATCTTTGTCAAACATTTACCTATTTATATTGCATCTGGATAATGTTTTTACAACATTACAAATAATTAGAAAAACCCTATTTTTTTTAGTTCACTATAAGTAGCCCTCAACTTACAAATACAGTTCGGACTGCAGCTTCTGTCGCTAAACCATGCAAACATTAAGTGAGCCGTGCCCAATTTTACAATGTTTTTGCTGCAGTTGTTAAGTGAATCATATGGTCATTAAGCAAATTCAACTTCTCCCGTTGACTTTGTTCTTTGGAAGTCCCCTGGGAAGGTTGGAAATAGCAATCGTGCCACAGGACACGACAACCATCATAAATACATTAGGATCCAAATTTTGATTACATGACTGCAGGGACACACTGAGAGTGCAAGGACCGAACATAAGTCACTTTTTCAGCTCCATTGTAATCTCCAACATTCATTAAATGAATGATCATAAGTTTTGGAGTACCTGTATTTTGCTTTAGAATATAATGTTGAGAACAATTGCAAAAAAAAAAAAAAAATTGATACTAAGAAAGTATTAAATTCGAGATACAGCCAGAACAGTATAGTAGCTGAAGTGTTGCACTTACACCAGGAGAGGCATTTTGAGTTCACAAATAACCATTTGCACCCTGGGAAACTTAATGCTAATCATTCTTTTTCCATCTAGCCCTCCTCAGAAGAGGTTGTTTTTGTAGGGACAAAATTAAGGGAACACTTATTGTGCCTTGAGCTACCAGAGAAAAAGTGAGGGTGTGAATAAATAATAATAACTACAATCCTGTCTAAATAGGGATCTCTGCTGATGATATAGGCTGTAAAGGTTAATGTGTACCGATAAAAAACACATTTTATTGTAAGCTGTTTATTATTCCACTAACAAGAACAGAAAAATAACCCAAAGAGTTCGTAATTTAAATTTGAGAATGACCCAGCTAGATCATTTTTTGCATACTGACTTAATATGACTTAAAATACTTTTTTTTCTTTTTTTTTAATTTAACAAGCCAAAAACCCCAATATATCTCTTTTGAAAACATTCTTTCTTATGTATATATTTAACTGGGAAGGGGAACAAAGAGAATAAATTTAATTGTACAAAATGAATCAAATTTTTTGTGGCATACGTGAAATTGTAAAATATACTATTCATACTCCTGAAGATCTTCTGGTTTTTCTCAACATGTTTCTTGAAGGAACAATAGATGCTAAGACAATTACATTAAATGAGTTTATTTGCTCAAAGATGCTTTCGATATAAAGCTCTCTGTAGCCCTCTCCTTCCTCTTCAAAAAAGAGCTCCCCCCAAAAACAAATATAAGCAATTTATTTCTGACATGAATTTTATTTACATTGGATCTAAAAAAAAAAAAAATCCTATCACAGTGGTGGCGAACCTATGTCACGGGGGCCAGAGGCGGCACTCAGAGCCCTCTCTGTGGACACATGTGCTGTCGCCCAGTCCTAGGCCTTTATAAAATCTGTCAATTTCAACTTCTCGCAGGAAAAAAAAAAGATCCTGCAAAGTTGGAATTGATTGATTGAACTTTTTAGTCCCACCCAGTCTGCTGTTACCACCGCAGCCACACCCACCCAATGGGCCACACCCACCCGGCACCCGACTATGCATAAGTGGGTTTTGTGTTGCAGTTTGGGCACTCGGTCTCTAAAAGGTTCGCCATCACTGCCCTATCATAATTGGGAGGTGTGTATATCATTTAACAGCAAGTATGCTGAACAATCAACAAATCACTTTTATTTACATAAAGCCTCCCTGAATATCTCCACTCTCCTTATTTCTTTTTCTGCCAGTCACTGATAACAAAGTATTCAGGTTCCTGCTATATTTGTTATCTTTGTTAGAGTCCCAATCTATGCATAGCAAAGAAAGAAGCCCT